TCTAGCAGAGCAATGCCCACATTTTCACAGCTTGCTGTGTCTGAAAAACACTCGGAGTACAAAGAGTGACCCAAAAATGTGTGAGACAAAAGCCAAAACAATGAGCTGGGAGATGGCGTAATACTAAGAAAAACTACATCAAAGTCTGGTGGAATTATTCACATACATGTTATCTTTAGAGACACTTTAATACAAAAATATTGAACACAATAAAATAATAAAATGGTGCTGTAGCAGGCTGTTGACACACCGTGTTTATGTATTTTTCAAATGACTGTGTTGACCCATACTTGAACTCTTTGCAGGAAAAAAATCAATGATTTGAAGACAGACAAGAGGGAATTGATCGGTGTCTTTGGTAAAACTGGGGCTGGAAAGAGCTCTCTGATAAACGCCATCATTGAAGAGAAGGATCTGCTGCCCTTTGGAGAGATCTGTGCCTGCACCTCGGTCATGATTAAAGTGGAGGCTAACCCTAACCTGAACAAACCAAAGTTCGAAGCAGACATCGAGTTCATTACAAAGGAGGTAAAATGAGCTGAGAATATATTTACACTAACTTGATGCCATTCATTACAGCTGAAATGTAATTATTCTTTATTATTTAGGAGTGGAAAGGTGAGATTTGGTCAATGAAGCAGTTTCTCGGGGATAACGCAAATGAGGAATGGGAAGATGATGAAGAGTGTCGTGACTTTGTTGAGAAGCTTTCTGCACTTTATGGAGAAGAGTGGAGAGACAAAAGCCCTGAAAGCCTCATGGACATCAAATATTTCAGTGAAATTCAAGAGTTTCACCAATCCCAGAGAAAGACCTTGACATGTGGATCAGTAAGCTGAAAAACTTTATATAATTTCTTAGAAAGCATTCTTGTCAGTCATCCATCCATCCATTATCTATACACCGCTTAATCTTCACTGGGGTCATGGGGGGCTGGAGTCTATCCCAGCTGACTCAGGGTGAAGGCAGGTTCACCTGGACAGGTAACCAGTCTATCACAGGGCTACACTTAGAGACAGACAACCAAGCACACTCACATTCACACCTACGGACAATTTACAATCACCAATTAACCTCAGCATGTTTCTGGACTGTGGGAGGAAGCCGGAGAACCCGGAGAGAACCCACGCTGCACGAGGAGAACATGGAGACTCCACGCAGAAAGATCACCGGGACGTGAACCGGCGACCTTCTTGCTGCGAGGCGACAGTGTTAACCACCGAGCCACTTTGCAGCCCTGTTGTCAATCAGATCAAATGAAATACATGCTTGAATTCTGCCGTTATTGAGGTTTATAGTTTTGCATACAGCCTGGATTTCCCCGTTTGGTTTAGTTTGACAGTAATTCAACAAATACAAAACTAAAAGCTGCATAGAAAAAGAACATCTTATAAACTACTTTTTCAATACCGTGTTTTGATGGTTTAACTGGATATGATGCAGTGGTACAGATCCGTGTCACATTAACCCTTCAAAGGAAAACCTTTTAGAAACTGCTCAGCCAGCAGCACAATTAATCAACATAATTGTTTTTAATACGGTCTTACTTCGATCCTAAATGACACTGGTGTGAACACAGATCAGGAAACTATGCTGCTATTGTTTTATTACATCTCAGTGCTGCTTTTGAACCCGTCGGTCGCATCTTCCTGTTGAAGTGGTTGGAATATTACAATTTAAACTTTTGGGTTCAAAATGTATAATTTAAATAATTTCATTTTAACTTGCAGTGATGGTGTTTAATTGCCCTTCTGTTCTGTCTGATGCTGTTTGCATATAACTGCCTGAATGAACTTGTTATTCTTCTGTTATCATTTGCAGGCCAAAGAGCTATCTACAAAGTTAATCAAATACACAAGAAGTAGCTCCAAACACGGACAAGGCAGAGAAATAAGGAAGTGGTTTTGGCCACTGGTGAAGTGTGTGACTGTCAAGGTACCAAATAATGATCTTCTCCAACACGTCACACTGGTGGACCTTCCTGGAAACGGTGACCGCAACAAGAACAGAAATAAAATGTGGAAAGGGGTAATTTACTCACATGCATTGCTGTTAAATGCTGGAAACTGAAATGGCATCTATTTACAAAGCACTGATGGTTAATTATAGATATTTACCATGCTATTGTACCCCCCAGATTGTTGGAGACTGTTCTACTGTGTGGATCGTGACTGAAATCAATCGAGCAGCAGCAGAAGAAGAACCCTGGGAGATCTTGAAAAGTGCCTGCAGCCTCATGGGAAACGGTGGCCAGTGTCAGCGCCTTCACTTTATCTGCACCAAGTCTGATCTCATTGACGATCCAGATGATGAGTGAGTAAAACAAAATGCCAAACATGCATAGTTAAATAAAACGTACATATTAGACACTGATGGTGACCAAGAGATCATTCTGAATAAATGCAGCTAAATAGACATTATACACGTGTAATGTAGTAATGGCACAGGCAGTACTGGGTAAATATTTTGTTGTTAGTTCAAGGGTATAGATTTTTAAGCGCCTCCTGATCTGACCACAAAGCCAGTCATGATCTTTGGCTTAAGGTTCTCCAATGCTGAGTGTGTTTTTAAACCGACCTGTGCTACACTGTTTATGGTCAGTACAAAACCACCACAGAAATCTAACAAACCAACCACAGCTTGGGCCATTCATGAGTCGTTCCCCATTTTCATTGTACTTTTTAAAGCTGGGGTAGGCACTATTTAGTATGGCGGATCACTGGGCAAGAACACCGTGATAACCTTTCAGAATATTCAGGAAGTCTGAGAGAAAACCAATTTTCAGCATCTCTTTTCTTCTTGAGGCTTCAAAAGATCAAACCTATGATAGTATAAGAGCAGGTAAGATGGTACGAAGAGCAATGAAGTTCACAATAAGAGCTGAATGTTGGAGTACAGTGGGTTGAACCGCTCTGCTGCTCTGTACCTCAGTAGTTATGCCGCCTACAAGTCATCCCCTGGAGTCTTTGAGGGCACGTGACATTGTGGTAGAATATTCTCTTGAAGGCTGACAGATATTAAGTCTCATCATTTGGCAGTCAAGTCTAATCATACAGGTAACATAGTTATGAGTTGCATAAGTTTTTACCCGGTTAATGAAGGATGGCAGAATAAACGAGCCTGTGAGCCTGAGCTCAGGGCACAGAAACCCTGAAGTTACAGATACGAATCTCTCACAGCAGAAGTGCAGCAAAAGTTATGTGTAAAAAGATTATTGTGAGTCCTGCTTGACTTGTAACTGGTGATTTGTGTGTATTTCCAGCATTTGCAGCCAAATACGTAGACTTTTCATGTATTGATATCTTTGTACGTATTTACAAATCTCACTACGGACACACAGACTGAGACACAGACACACAACTCTCCATACACATTACAGATAGTCAATAATATCCCCATAATTTACACTTTCACCACGTCAGAGAAGTGAAGTGAATGAAACGTTTCAGGCTCCAGTGCTCTAAACACTGCTTGAGGTGCATCCTAATACATTCCTTTTCTTAAAGTGAAGAAGATGACGTTTGTGCTCGCATACTTCAAAGAAACGTGACAGCCAAGCAAGAAGTCATCAAAAAATTTGGCAAACTAAACCAGGTTAAGGTGAGTTTTACACATTGACAGAAAATCTACACAAATCCATGGTTGCTGTTACAGACTGCACCTCTGACTCAAGAGCTTTTAACTTGAAAGGCCCTTACTTAAGGTCGCCCTGCACGAGATCTTTGATGCTTCTGTTCTTGTTCCAGATCATGATTCATTTGTATCCAGCTGCTGTAACATGTAAGGAAGAGGGATCAATACCGTTTATCTCATCTTATTTTATGTCTTATCTTAAAACCCATTTCCCCAGAAACACTTCCAAGGTGACTGCCTCGAGGTGTTCACAGTGAGCTCCAAAGAGTTCCTGAAAGGAAAACATCTAAAACTGGATGAAACTGGTAGGTGAAGCCTCCATTTGTGAACTCCTGGACAGCAGAAAATGTGTTGCTCAAATACACATTCTGTTTCACTTACTCACTGGCATATTATATAAAGATTAAATATTCAAACTACTCTTCTACTTTTTTCCAGAAATACCGAAGCTTCAGGATTTTTTGAAAGGTCTCAATGACTGTCACTCAGTGACATTAAACTATGTGTCTGGAGCTTTTGGGATTCTCTCTTTGATGCAAGCAGCCAACTCTACAGAAGGGGTAAGAACGAGTAATAAAACCTTGTTCAGAATAGTAATATATAAAGCGAATCAGGAAACATTAGTCAACCATGATCAGATTTAGTGAAAACATGGGAGAGTTTAATCTTAAATCTAGTAGGAGCAAGATTTTATTGGTCATTTAAAAACGTAAATATGACTAAATAGATTTTAGCCATCAAGACAGTCTGTCTATCCATTAGTTAGGATTTACAGTTTCATGACTTTAAAAATGGATGTGTTTTTTCTTACTTTAGGCTGGCAAGAAAACTCATGTGTGTGCAGAACTTGAAAAGAATCTAAGCCGGCAACTTGATCAAGTCAAAGAAGCAGTGGAAGGTGCTCACAAGGCTTTTGAAACATGCCTTACTGACGGGGTGGAAAAATCCAAAAGTTCATGTGAAAAAAACTTGAACACCTTCTTATATCCTGTAAGTATTTGAATAATAAACTTTAAGTAGTTTGTCTTTTTATCAATATGTATCTACAGCGTCTTTTTTCCTGTTTTGTCTCAGCCAAGGTCTGGCCGTGGTTTTCACAGTACATTGAAGTGTGTGGTTCAGAACGATGGCGTCCACAAAAAGCAACACATAAACCTCAATGCGAGGTTGGCTTTATGGATGACAGACAGCATCGATGAGGAATTCAGGAAGACCTTCCCGTAAGAATAAGGACATAAAACCTGCTGTTGGATCACTTTCCAACAATGGAGGACATGTAGAATTAGCTAATTCTGCTGTTTTTTACTATTCAAACACAAATATGTCAGTGATGCTTCCTATTGTCATTTTAACTTGATATGTTTTAGAAATGAAGAAAAATGGGGATCATTCAACGGCGTCATCACAAAGTTTTCCCTGGACACAGAGAGGCTGATTCAGGAGAACCAAAGCCTCAAACTGCAGCTGACATTTCTCAGTACAGAGGTGAGATAAGACTTACATTATCCTGTGTGTGTGTGTGTGTGTGTGTGTGTGTGTGTACATATACGCAGTTGAAAGCAGAAGTTTACATTCACTGTACAAACAGACAATAAACCTTTTTTTCTTTCTCACTGTCTGACATTAAATCAGACTAAACTTTTCCTGTTTCAGGTCAGTCATGATCACCAACATTATTTCTATTTGCTAAATGCCAGAATAACAAGAGAGAGAATTTGTTATGACTTTCTTCAAAGTCAGAAGTTTACATCCATCTCCTTAGTGTTTGGCAGCGCTGCCTTTAAACTGACTTGGGTCGGTCACGTTTTGGCAAACAAAGGCTCAGGCACAGACAAAAGACTCGACCACCAAGAAGCTAAGTGCAATGTTACACAGTTCATTTACAAATGATGATACCGTACAAAATGACAACCTAAGGCACCCTAACGGGCCGGCCATCTAAACTACTGCCAACAAATACTTACCACTAGAAATTTCACAAAACGTCCTCTAAAGGACGACAAACTGTTCTTACCAATTAATCCAAAACTTACCGAATACAAACCTATCAGTAGTAACTACTGGTTGAGTAGACGAGAAATAAGGCTTCTATGAGGCTTACCACAATATGGGAAACTAGAGAGGGGGAGCCGGGGGACACGGAGGTGGACCAGGTGACTTCAGCAAAGGGACACAGAGGATATGGAGGACTGGAGCCAGAGGAATCCAACAGAGAGGAATCAGGAACCAGGAATGGATCACGGGTTGGCAGCGAACATGGCGAAACTGAAGCACAGGAGAGTGGAGTGAGAACAGGAATCAAGAGTACCAAGCTGAGCGTACAAACAAGAACGAGAATAACATGGGTTTTACAACGATCCGGCCTCGACTTGTGGCTTGCAGGCGTCTTAAATCCTGCATGCACAATGGCAAGCCACGCCTCGCCTCGAGCAATCGGCTGATTGCGATCCAGAACACCTGGTCACTTGTCCCTCCGGCTTGTTGCACAGGAAAAGTTGAAGCAACAACAAAAGTGCTCCACTAGATGGAGCAAAAGGTGGAGGGCATGTCAGGGTCAAACGTTCTGGGTTTCCTTCCACAAGCTTCTCACAACAGTCTGATGAGTTCTGGCCCACCAGTTCCTGACAGAACTGGTGGAACTGAGTCAGGTTTGTTGGTCTCCTTGCTCCACTAATGTTCTCCAGGACTGAGATCAGGGCTTTGTGACTCCACAACACTGACTCTGTTGTCCTGAAGCCTCTCTGTAGCTAATCTGGAGCTATGCTGAGGGTCATTGTCCATCTGAAGACCCATTTAAAGCTTTAACTTCCTGCTGATGTCTGGAGATGTTGCTTCAATACCTCCACATGATGTTCTTTCCTCATGATGCCATCTATTGTGTGAAGGTCACCAGTCCCTCCACAGCATGATGCTGCCACCCCCGTGCTCCACAGCTGGGATGGTGTTCTCAGGCTTCAAGCTTCCTCCTTTTTCCTCCAGATGTACCGATGGTCATTAAGGCCAAACAGTTCAGGTTTAGTTCCATCAGACCACAGGACATGTCTCCACTGATGAAGCTCTTTGTCCCTGTGTGCATCTACAAACTGTAATCTGTCTTTTCTATGTTTCTTCTGGAGTGATGTCTTCTTCCTCTCTGAGCAGCCTTCCAGCCCATGTCGGTACAGGACTGGTTCCACTGTGGATAATGACACTCTGACCAGCTTCAGCAGCATCTTCACAAGGTCTTTAGCTTCTGTTCTGGGCTGGATTCGCACATTTCAACCAGAACACTTCATCTCTGGACACAGAACCGTCTCCTTCCTGAGCCTATGATGGCTGGACATTCCCATGGTGGTCATACTTGATAGACCTGTTTGAACAGATGAACATGGAACCTTCAGGCATCTGGAAACTGGACCCAAGGATGGACCAGACTGGTGGAGGTCCACAGTTCTCTTCCTGACATCTCGGCTGGTTTCTTTAGATGTTCCATGTTGTCACCAAAGGAAGCAGCGTGTTTGAGGTGTGCCTTAAAATACATCCACAGGTGTGTCTCCAGTTAACTCACATGTTGTCAGTCAACCAATCAGAAGCTTCCAAAGCCATGACGTCATCATCTGGGCTTTCCCAAATAGTTTGAAGGATCTTAGTGGATGTAAACTTCTGACTTTGAAGAAAGTCATTAAAAAAAATTCTCTCTCTCATTATTCTGCCGTTTAGCAAATAGAAATAATGTTGGTGATCCTGACTGACCTGAAACAGGAAAAGTTTAGTCTGACGGTGAGAAGAAGAAAAAAGATTGTCTTTTTATCCAGTGTCCATCTAGGAATATATATATATATATATATATATATGTGTGTGTGTGTGCTGTATCGTCGTGCTGTATATAAATATATAAGCATTTCTCTCATTTCTTTGCAAAATGAAGTGCTCTGCTGCCCTGCAACAGCTCAGTTAAAATCTGTATAAGTATCATTTCATTTAAGAATGTTACATTTTTTTTGTATTTTTTATCTTTTTTTCCATCTTCAACAGGAAGAAAACATTAAGACAAAACTGAAGGAAATCATCTGGGTCAATAAGAAAGCAATCTACAACAGTCTGACAGAGACGATCGAGGAAAAAATGCTGCCGTGCTATAAGAGTAAGAAATGCAGTGATGACGTAATAGCCCGTCACGGTGATTATACACATTTACATTGATCATAAATATGCATGAAAATCACACGATACAATCCTTTGCTGTTTTGTTGTAGAAGCAGCAGCATTTAGTGGAGATCAAACACTGAAATACATGAGAGACACTATCGCAGAACATGTACGTGTCTCAAAGAACACGATGTTTGAGGAGGCTAAAGCTGTCATGTTGAACCAGCTGAACGTCTTGAAGGTTTGTTCTGCTCCATAATATGAAATATGATGAGACTGAAAACACACGTTCACATGAAGGCCTTTTCTGTATTTAAGTGGAAAATGTGTCATTGTGAAAGCTCATAAGCTACTAATGAACTGCATTCAGTAATTATTAGACATACAGAAATCTACAGCAGGAGGTCATTAGTCCTTTTTCTAGTCTCAACAGTTAATTAATCATTAATAAGTGACAATAATTTTGATTCTGAATTAGGAGAAAATCCTGAAGACGCTGCAGGAAACCATGAAGGAATCCATTGAGCTCTCACTGAAGACAGATGACAACTCAATCCCAGGTAACAGGAACATGTCAAAGTCAAGTCATTTATGTAGAACTCTGAGAATCCTGTAAATGTACCATCGGTGTTAAAGAAGTCCACACATCTCCAACAAGTACTTTGGTTCTTTAGATGTTCCAGAAGAACTTGAGAAGGTGAAGAAATACTACGATGAACTGAAGCGCAGCTCAAAAGAACTGGACATAGCATTCAGATAAAACCTCAAATGTAAGTCCAATGTTTCCTAAAGAGCCGTGACGATGAACTGTTTTTGTCCTAAATAATGTCAATCACACCTTGAATTACAGCAGAGCTGATGCACAGGAACATCTGAGTGAAGCTGCTGCTGAAAGCTGAACAGTTTTCATCACGCTGTTGAAACAGACGCTGAGTCC